GGAAAATTTAAAGAGAACTTTTATCTAAGTCAAAAGAAAAATTCAGAAGGAAAGAAAACAAAGACAAATGAAAGCAGTTAAGTGTAATGTAGGCTTTCTCTTAATAGGCAGCTCTACAAATACATACTTTTCGTACATGCATACATGCATAATCCTTGTTTGCCTGTACTGACACTGTGACCCATACATAGATCTGACAGTGTAGAGGGTTGTTATACAAAGACAGTATAATTATTCTCACATTTGCTTGCAAAGAACTCCCATAATCCATCTTGGGATTTTTCTATCTGTCCCTTGAACTCTCAACTGTTACTCTATGTAAGCAATTTAGTTTCTGTGAGAGCTCTACTAGAATTTTACCAGTGTCTCCGTGGTTCTTCACAAACTCAGGTCCACATTCACCACCAGCAGGGCTAGGAACTCATGCTCACCTCCCAAGTGAAGGGACACATCCTGGATCACAGACTCAGGACTGAAGCATAGAAAGCCCCAGTGTAGAGTTTTCCATACTTCTGCCATGAGTATATGGTGAAGTTCCAATTCCACTTAGCTATCAGCCCCTGTCTCTGGTCATCTTGTTTGCAGTTTTAATTTCTTTGTGCAATCTCTACATTGTTTATCCTGTTACTTAGAAATACATTGTTCAGTAGCCTCATTATTGTTTCCCACTTTCTGCCATATCAGTCATTTCTTGGTGAAATTCTCTCAATTTGGGTATCTGTGTATGTATCACTGTTGCACACGAGGCTGTAACTTGACATATAGTCCTGTACCATCGTGTCAGCATCTGCTTTAAGACAAAACAATCGTTTCCTTAGCCAAACGTGAGAGACCGCCCTTTTAAAAATTTAGGGGCATAAATGGCTCACATGACAGTCATGCCTCTTCAATGTGTAAGGTAACCTAGTGGGTGTAGGGGAAGTCCAAGTGTTCATTAACTTGTCCTAACTCCCAGTGTACAGGGTGGCTCTCGATGTCTCAGTGCTATGCTCACTCAGAATGCGCTGCCTCTTCTCTTACTATTATCTCTCAGGTTCAGATGGAACCCAAACTGTTCCAATTACGAAATATTTCTCCAGCTGCCTTTCAGTTTTAGCACACTTGACACTCTCTTGAAACTATCTATCATGTTATCCTGCTAGCAGCTTCTCTTGCTAAAAAGAAAAAAATTCCCAGTATGCAATTACTTGTCTCAGATACTTGTAATCATGTGGTCACTGCCAGCCCCAGTATATTAGAAGTCTATTCCATCCTGTCATGAGTTCAGAGAGCCTCGACTCCTATTGTCTTTGAAATACTAACTTAATGGCTACAGGATGCCCTGGCCTTGGTGGGGAATGGCTATTTGCTCTTTATACATGATAACAGAAGGCTTCTGCCATTGTCCCCACTTTTGGTTGGGTACTTAAGATGATACATAAACTCATCACATTCAGTATTAACTGATTCTGCCCTCCTGATATGATCTTATGTCTCTTTCTTTCCTTTAACGCCTATAAATAACCTTTCCTCATCCACACTCCCTGACTCAGGAACAGACCCGGAACTGTTCAGCTGGTTCAGATCACAGCCCTGCAAACACCAGTCCGTGAGTGGTCACAACACTTTGATGAACCTTTATTTAGCCTCCAGTTACCTCCTATACCTCCTGCCAAGCTATTGACTGTTTAGCTATGTATTAAACCAATCTCAGTGACACATCTTCACTCACTGTAACGAAATATTCCATATTTACCCTTTGTTTGTCCAAATAAAAAGAAAAGTTTTAACTCTAACAAAAAAACTATATACAATAAGAACAATTATCAGGTAAGAATTACATTAACAATGTCCAGTCTATCTGCATTTGTTGAATTTGGTAACAAGGAACTGTAACATTGGGGCATCCATATTTCACCTACAGGCCTAGAATATAACAGAATATCGACAAGATTCAGCAGGAATCTTGAAGGACTGTGCTATGTTGTCTTGGCAAATTTCGGCAGACACTTTCCTTTCTGTTCTGCTTGCCCAATTTGGACAGTATACTGTCAGCAGTCGAAACAAGGGCAGTTTCTTTGTCATTGGCTAGTTTTTGCCACAAAGAAAGCAAACTTTGTATGTGGGTTCTTTGTTGCCCATAACACTTTGTTAAAGTAAATTGGTACTACCAGGAGCAGATATGTCTCATTGTTATAAAAAGCCTTATGTTACTAAAGATATCTTAAATGCCATATTTTGTAGGTCCTGAAGTGTTTGGAGATCACAGATCTAGCTAAAATAAATCTTTTGTATGATCTTGAAAAAATACCCAACATGACTATAAGTTTGATTGTTACAGATGATTGACTATTAAACTGTATTTCTTTATTACCTTAAATAGCTTTCAAGAACTAAAACTTTACATTCCATTTTAAATGAGGTGCATGGGTACAGTATCACAGCAAGAATAGAAATATATATATATTATAACAAAAATAACCTTAAATTTGTGTCAATGTACAAAAATTCATACCAATGTAAAATATTTGGGACTAGTGGTCGTTCAAAGGCACACTGAACTACCTACTCTTTTATAGAAGTTATTTTATTTCAAGTCCCTTTTTCTTGGTGTGATGATCTATTTTCAAACCAATTTCTGTGGATAAGTACCCCCCCCTTGTGCCATTTACATTTTTTGTAAACCCTCATGCTGCTTCTTTCTTTAAAGACATTCATATAAACTCTTTGCAGCTACTAATTTTACTCTATTAAAAGACCTTCAGAAAGTTCCTGTTTATTCTGGCTTACAAGCCTATATTACTCCACCTTTTGCGATCCTTGTTGAGGGTTTTCATGGCTCACTTCAGTTTCAAAAAATGACACTACTTACCATTTTTTTTTCTTAACTGCTTGATTACCAATTGTACCAATCTAACTATGTGTCCCCAGGTTCTTTTGTAGTTGTTCATCAACCTCCCTGTGTTCTTCTTCCTGTTAACCTATTGACCTTGGTATGATGATCTGAGTATTTATGCTATGTAAACTATTGCTAATCTGCTAAATGCTTTATTGAAACCCTGATATTGGATATTACTGCCTTTATTTCTATCATCGGAACTATAACTGCCTCTACTGTGGCTCTTGTACAACATAAATACATTGTCTAAAAATGTTTCTTTACTCAAGAACCTGTTGATAAGGACCTTGTTAATAGGGCTAATGCATTTGAGGAAGCAGTTTTATATATAGGTACACAGATTCAAAATATTGAAGTTAGACTTACTGCTGTTTGTTATACAAATTATAAATGAATTTGTTACACCATGGTTCTGATTATTCATGAGAACAAATTCAGGCTCATATTAGAGGTATATAGAACAGTTCTAATGTAAGATATGAATATTCATTCTCTCCATGAACTAACTGCAACTTTTTCTCATGCATCTCTTCGGTTATCCTCTGCAGAGAAGATAAAAATCTCATTTTTTTAAATCCAATTACCTCTTTTATAACTATAAATTTTTTGGACATTTATCATTAATTTGGTTGTTTCTCTTGGTTTATTTTTAATTTTAATCTTTTTCCAGTTCTCTACAAAAAATTAAGACTTGTCCTTCTCATAGTCCTTCATGATGTTCATGAGTTTCAATTAAAAACCAAAAAGGGCAGCACTCGGGAGGCAGAGACAGTCGGATCTTTGTGAGTTCGAGACCAGCCTGGTCTACAAGAGCTAGTTCCAGGACAGCCTCCAAAGCCACAGAGAAACCCTGTCTCGAAAAACCAAAAAAAAAAAAAAAAAAAAAAACCAAAAAGGGGAGATGCTGTGAGCCATGTTATTTCTTAGGGGACCTGAGAATAGCATGAACAAATTCTTCTTGTGGCAAGGCCCTGGAGAATCTGACCCATTTTTGGCAAGGCCGGTGGGTAGTTCACTGCATAATTCTGGGCATGATCCCAGGAACCTATGTGCTACCTGCTCCTCTTACTTTCCTTATACAAATTATTGCTGGCTGCCTCTAGTTTCAGTTTCGTAGAGCTACAGATGAAATGGATATTTACAAAAGGAAAATATCCCTCTGATGACTCTCCTCTGGGTAAGCCAGAAGGGATATTCTTAAAAATATACAGTAGATCTGATTTAGCTCCTAAAGCCTTTGATGTTTCAGGTGTGAACATGATTCAGGCTTCTCAAGAACAGGATGTTGCCATTCCAATGCACCTTGTGATTTGCCTGAAAGAGTCACAGAAGTTTGGGACAATACTACAAATTTGCATATTCTGGAGAGAATGCTACTGAATAAATGATATGGGGCTAATGGGAACAGTCTAGGAAGAGAGAATGAAGAGAATCATAGAAACCCACAATGCCCTCATTTTTAACAGCCAATACTGTAGGAAGCTGAGAGCAGAAGGACATGAAAATAAAGGATAAGCAGTGCCAACTATTAAGAGTAAGCTTTTTAGTTATGTAGTTTACAAGATAAGAAGAAGATCTAGAATAGTACCTATAGGAGGTATTGTAGTGCCGAATTGAGAATGAATTGATTCAGCCTTGGCTGATGAGTTGATTGTGAGAGTTTAGAGTTGATTAGAGGTAAACACTAGCCCTTAGAGGAAAATTTTTCTTTCACTTTGCATGATGCTATAACAACAAATGCTGCCAATGAGACATACTGTTCGACCAGTAGGTGTGCCTAGTTAGAAAACTTCCTTTGCTGCTTGCTATAATGTTTATGCTTTTGAAGCTACGAATCAAATAGATAATGATTACCAGTGGGGAAGTTGGGGGACAGAAAGGGAATGAAGTATGGGAACAAACTGGCAATTATTGTAATTATTACTACAAACTCAAGGAAACATGATTGTAAAACTGTTCATGCAAACTATTCAAACTGTATAAATAAAAATGGCTCAGGCTATCAAAGGCCACTTGCTTGAAACAGGTCATCAGAGTTTCGTCATTATGCTGACTTCTGTCCCAGGTCATCAGAGTTTCGTCGTTATGCTGACTTCTGTCCCAGGTCATTGAACCTGTTAGGAATTAGGAGTTAGTCTCCTAGTACTCTTACATTTGAATTGACCCATATTTATCTGTGCTTTCTCACGGGGCTCATGGTTTTCTATCTCATTTTCTCTATAGCCTGCTTCCGGGTCAGCTGGCTGGCATCTCCTCCTCACTCTCCTCTCTCCGTCCTTCTTTCTTCCAGCACTTATGGAGTTTGTAGTCAGAATGGTTCATATGATGTGTTTTTTAAGGGCTGAGGAAGTGTAAACTTTTTAAGACATTTGTGGGATTTCTCCCCAACATGAATAATCATGTGTCCAATACAGTTATAAAGATTAACAGTCTTTACCACATTGCCCACACTTTCAGGAACTTCACACTCTCTCTCTCTCTCTCTCTCTCTCTCTCTCTCTCTCTCTCTCTCTCTCTCTCTCTCTCTCTCTCTCTCTCTCTCTCTCTCTCTCACATTGTCTAAGGGATGAAGATGAGCGAAGAGCGAAAACATTTGCCAACTCTTCACACTTGGTTTTTCTACAGCATGGACTGTCTGATGATCCTGAAGTTTTTCAATGTATGAAAACTTTTCCACACTGCACATGTGCAGGAACTGTCTTGTTTTTTTTTTGTTTGTTTGTTTTGGTTTATTGTTTTGGTTTTTACGAGACAGGGTTTCTCTGTATTGTTTTGGAGGCTGTTGGTCCAGCCTGGCCTCGAACTCACAGAGATCCACCTGCCTCTGCCTCCCGAGTGCTGGGATTAAAGGCGTGTGCCACCACCGCCCGGCGGAGGAACTGTCTTACGCATGGAGTGTTTGACATTGTCTAAGGCACGAATATAAAGAAAAACATTTGCACACACTTCACAGTTAGGATTTCTCTGAAGTATGAACTCTTGTGTCTCCAAAGGGATGAGCTATTATGAAGGGCTTCATGACATTCTTCACACTTGTATGATTTTTCTCCAGTATGAATTGCTTGATGTCCCCGAAGACTCCGAGAACAGGAACACCGTTTGCCACATTCTACATATTTATAGGGGCTGTCTTCCAAATGGATTGACTGATGTCGTCTAAGGGATGAAGATGAGGAAAAACATTTGCCACACTCCTCACACTTGTATGGTTTCTCTCCAGTATGGACTGTCTGATGTTGTTGGTGTGCAAAGTAGGAAAATCTTTTGCCACACTCTGCACACTTGTAGGGATTGTCTTCAGAATGGATGGTTTGATGTCGTCTAAGGGATGAAGATGTGCAAAGACATTTGCCACACTCCTCACACTTGTAGGCTTTCTTTGCAGGATTAGCCGCCTTGTTCCCAAGGAGAAGAGCAGGCTTAGTAAATTCTTTTGCACTCAGTTCACACTGATACGATTTCTCTGCAACATGAATTCTCATGTGTCTCCTAAGGGATGAGTGATAATGAAAGGCTTTGTTACACTCTTCACACCTGTATGATTTCTCTCCAGTATGAACTGTTTGATGTACCTGAAGGCGTAGAGAACAAGAAAACCTTTTCCCACAATCTTCACACTTGTAGGTTTTTTCAGCAGTATGCATTTTCTGGTGTATAAAAAGTGTTGAGAGCGTATGAAAGGCCTTATGACATTTTTTTTTTTTTTGGTTTTGCGAGACAGGGTTTCTCTGTATTGTTTGTTTTGGAGGCTGTCGGTCTAGCCTGGCCTCGAACTCACAGAGATCCACCTGCCTCTGCCTCCTGAGTGCTGGGATTAAAGGCGTGCGCCACCACCGCCCAGCCTTTATGACATTCTTTACATGTGTAGGGTTTTTCTCCAGTGTGAAGTCTCTGGTATATAGAAAGTGTTATAAAACTAGAACTAAGGGCCTTACCACATTCTTTGCACTTGTAGGGTTTCTCCCTTGTATGAATTCTCTGGTATTGAATATGTACTGAGTTATAATCAATGGTCTTGTTGTAAACGTTATAATCATTGGGTGTTGTTCCTGTTGAGCAAAAGCTGAGATATGAACAAAAGCTAAGAAATATTCTTTATACTTATAATGATTACTTTTATATGGAGAGATTCACTCATACATATTTAACCATCAATAGGAAACTACAATATATTTCCAGGCACTGAGCATGGATGATAAAACATTGTAGCTAGGAATAATCTATACTCCTACTAGAATAAAGGCACAACCAAATAGAACATAGACATAATGGCATATTATTCAAAGTTTAAAAGCTAAGTTTTAAGAACATTTAAGAGAAATAAGCTCATTAAACTCTAGAGATATTATATATCAAGACACCATGAGATTATACAGTAGCCAGGCCTGGAAAAGAGAAACGTAATGGTGACTGTGTGATTCTGAATCATTATCAAAATACAAAATTTTTATCCTACACATAGTTTTATTTTGGAAGCTACAAAGGACATGCTTCCTGCACAAGAAGTAGATGGTTCACAACAAGATTAAACAATACAGCTCAAAAACTCAGGGCAGTGTTTTATTTGGATGACAAGAAAATATATACCTGAAACATAGTGAGTCATGGTAAAAAACAAACAAAACAAAAACATGCCATTGTAAAGGAAAACCTTCTTGCCAGCCTGGTTCCAGAGCCGCATCAGTCCCAAATAAACACACAGGAGGCTATTAATTATGAAGCTGTTGGCCTTGCTTGTTTCTTACTGGCTAGCTCTGACCTAAGTAATTACCCCATAATTGCTATCTAAGTATATCTCTTACCGGAGAAGTTTCTGGGCTTCCTACCCCATGGCGTTACATCTTGACTCTTTGTGTTTCTCCTTCCCAGAGTCCTCCTGGACTCGTAGTCCTATCTATCTTGATTCCCTACTGGCCAGCAGTGCTTTATTGACATATACACAGGACTTCCCCAACACGCCTTCAGGTTCATCTGTGAATTACACTTATTTTGCTGAGATAACATATTTGTCAATGAATAGATGAAAACATGACTTATTTCATATAAGTTTCTCTGTGTTCTTGTTATCCTGGAACTCGTTATATAGACCAAGCTAGCCTCAACATCAGAGATCCACTTTTCTCTGCCTCCCAAGTACTGGGATAGTGGAGTAGGTCACCATGCCTAGGCAATAAAATTGTGTATTTCTAAGATTTATTTATTTACAAGAGTAAACAGTTATTGGGCCCTACATAGAGAGAGACAATGCACAAGGCACGCAAACAGGAGACTGGTGTCTATCCATGAAGTAGAAATTCACAAATACTTTATAATCTTACACTGTCCATATGTACTTTATGCTGTCTCAGCTATGGTTCTGTGCCTTAAATTTTATCACTTTCCCTGACCCCTTGTGGAACAGAGAGTCAGCCATGCTCTGAGCTCACTTTGATTCAAGGCTCCTGGAAGCTGCAGGATTCCTCTGTCCCCCTGCCTGTGCTCCATGAGTGGTGCCAACATCCATTCTGAGGCTGTATTAGTGGGTCTGGGAAACAATTCTTCTTCAAGTTGCTCATACCTGACACTGAGCTCCCCATTAAGGTCTTGTCAAAAAACCAAGCCTAGTCAACTCTCAGCCGCAATCTCTCAAAGGCATACTCTAGCTGGTGGGGACTGAGCTACATGATCTCACTGGTTCATTCATGTGCAATAAGGCCCATATAGGGACAGTGCTTTCTTTTGCAGAACACAGGTTACTTGGTAGACACCACATCAGAGCATGCAGAGTGGGCAGAAGTGGTGCCCCCATACATCCAAGAAGCTTAGACAGCTTACAGGTCTAGGACTCTAGCTCAGTGTGAGGACAAGATGTTGGAGCCAGTCTTTCTATGTGTTCAAGCCCTTTACTTGCATTGCTTGTGCATAAAGACGGGAGATAAAGGACAAGTTGGGTCTTTTCTACTGGGTCTGCAATCCTGCTTCCTCTGAGATAAGACATCCTGTCTGTTCTTGGGACTCCTTTGACCTGTGGCTGAGCACAGCCTTCCTCTCTGTTCCACCAAGCCCAGATACCCTTGCTTTCACTTCTAGAACTTTCTGAGTTCCTTCGATGTCTAGTTTTATGGTTGTCTGTTTAAATGTCTCTAGGTTGCAGGTACCTCTATATTTAAAGTTTAGAGGTTGATCCACAGAGAAGTCAGTATGTCCCTGTTTCATAAGAATCAGTATATTATCCTAAACACAGAAATCTTTATAAGAGGTAAAACACATAGAGAACTATTCAGGTTGTCTGCCTAACATCTGCAGACACATACTATAGTTATGGATATTTAAATTACTATGTTCAGTCTTATTGAGACACAAATGCCATTTGAATATAGACAATGTTTTTTATAAGTCATCCTATGCTGTTTTAGCTCACTGAAAAGCTGGCTCTAGAAAAAGGATATTCCCTGCCCACTTTCAAACCCAAGTACATTTCTCTTAAAGTCTCCTTAGTGCCCTTATCCTGGGTCAGGCTGGCTCCCTAACTCTGTGACAGGCAGAAGGAAAACAATAGGTCAACTTGGGAAAAGATACTGTGCACTTGAGAACACCTAACAGGTGAACTATTTCCAAAAGAGGCTACTGTTAATTATGTCATGGTAGAAACAAGTGCGGAATAAAAATAACTAACGGGATGCTCAATATTGAAAAGGATAAAAGAGACACTGTCTAGAAGCCATCAATACTCTAAAATCACAGTCAGCCAAATTCTGTTAGATGCTGTTAACATTGCTTTAATGATGACATGGTAAGTCTGCATACTATCTAAATCATAAAGTCCATCTTATGTTTACTATAACTTTCACGGCATAATGGTTTAACAGGATGTGCCCAGGTAATATTAATGTGTCACATTACCCTCACTGTGTAGTTTTGGGTTCACCCTTATTTTATTTAACTGATATTGTACAGTATCTTCTAAGCTGAACAACTACCATCATCGTAACTCTAGCTGTGCCTACTAAAAGTAATCACAGCTGGACTTGTTAAATGTTAATATTCCTTCAAAAATGGAGGATATAGACAAGGTCCCTGAACCCTCACCTGAGGATCCACTCTCAGCCTCCCAGCTAGGTGCACGAGGTTTCAAGGTTTCCTGGAGACACTTGGATGTACAGGCCAGAAAAACTAAAATTAGGTTGCTGGATGGATCTGCAGTGTGTTATATGTACTGCTACATGTATTGTTACACATAAAGCTGTTACATGTACTGACTAAGGGCCACATGAAAACAGATACTGTCTAACAGCCTTTTCTTAGGTATATTTTCCTAAATCAAATGGTAAATGTACTTGTTAAATACAGAATGTCTCATTTGTAAAAACTTGATCAAGGGGGTATACGTAAAGCATCAGATGCCCAGGCCAAAGGGAGAGGTGTCTCAGTTGATTCTGTAGTCAGTTTCTGATTGGAATTCTGTTCTCTATATCCTCTCTCAGTGATTACAAAACCTGTTCTAGTCCAAGTCTACTTACATCTCTAAACCTCTTGCTGACATGTCACTTTTCTTTGTATGAATCAGTGAAATCATTTAAAAAGATACAAAAGATACAGTTGAGGTTATATCTCTAATAAATGGGTTAAACTATTTAAGATAGATTATATAAAGAAAGGGCATAACCTTTAAGGCTTAAAGCCAAGTCATATTAGGTCTATCTATATAATACAGACATTAAGGAAGAGGAGACTTAAAAATAATACACTTGATTATCAAGATATACTAATGTCCTTAAGGTTATACAGTTTTATTCATGTTTTTAAAAACACTGATTAAAGAATTCTATGTAGTCACTTATGTGTTTGCTAACTTTGTTAAACTGTAGTCATTTGGAGAAACTGAGTCATGACAAGAACAATTCATTATACATCTTTTTATTCTTGTTGGTGTTCCTTAAAAAGGACAGCCTTATTATTCTCTCCTCTGACTGTATTCTTTCTGAGGAAATGAGCTACTTAGTGTAGAAAGTCAGTAGGACTGATTTTAGGTTTTATTAAGGTACAGTATAAAGGACTGAGGAGAGTCAAGTTCCTAGTTCCCCATGGGCTGTATTTATGTTTAAAGTTTGTTTTAGTATAACACAGCTTCAATTCAACAATTGTTGTTTCTGAGGTTGACATTTTTAGCAGAGATAAATTATTTCCATTTAAAGCCTAATCTTATGAGAGTCACTACTTTATTGTAAGATGTTAGAACAAAGACACTTAACACATAATAGTTATTGAGTCATCTACTAAGAGATTAAATACATTTAGTCTTCACAAAATTGTGTTTATAGTCATGATAAATACAAATGTAATACATGTACGTAGACAGTATTAGAGGGAGAGAAAAACATGTCCTTTGTACATGTTATCAAACAAAGCAGACAACTCAAAAAATTGCTTAATATGGAATAATATTCAAAATCAGGTGTACTTAAAAAAACCTGTTTATTGAAATAAATTGCTTGCGTAAAAAGGGTTAAATCTACACTACACTTGCATGGCAGGACACACCCAGGATCAATTACTATAGTTACCCCCAGCTAGGACATGGACCTATCAGACTAAATGACATTCTAGTGTCAACACAGCATAAGGATGAATGGGGAATAAGAGTTGTCAGTGTCTGCGTTCTTGTCTCTCTCTGGCCTGGAAACCAGACCAGGAAATCCTACTCCTTATCTGTAGGGAAGATGGATCACAGCTCATGTCCCACCAGACAGGGGGTGGATTCCCTCATGCTGAGGAGAATCTTAGATTTTTTTCACCACACTCTGCATGTGTCAATGGAGACACTCATTGCAATTTCTCAGCAGTCCATGTCTCCTGAACTGATAGTTGAGAATACAAGGGGAGCCTTGTACCTATGTCTGCCACCCAACTGGTATGGGAGCTACACTCTAGTTCAAACGGCCATGCCCTGTCCCTGGCTTTGATTTTCTTCCTCTTAGCAAAGCTAATTTGAGAGCTGAGCTATCAATGCCTGGTTATGTAAGCAGTCCTCAGCAAAGTGGTCGATAACACATGACAGAGGCTCTGCCACAGGGCCAGTGGGCACAGCAGGGAGAACTCAGGGCACTGTTTAAACTAAGTCACAAGTGCCACGTGTGTTCACACCACATCAGTCAAGAAAGCCATACGGCCTGAGGAGGTGAGGTGGACTATGAAAGGTTTCCCAGAGCACTCATTCTGAGTCACCTTCCAGAGGCATCTAGAACCAGCTCCTCAGTCCAGCTCCCATTACCCACCTGGAAGCCAGTGGACATATATACACTGGAGGAAGTTTGGAAAATCAGCATGTCTTTGATGACAAAGACATGATGGGGAGACCTAAGGAATGATTTCCACAACACCACCTTCTTTCAGTGCACACAGGAAAGCCTGCCTTTCTGCCCCTGAGCCCCTCATTCCTACTCACCTGGGTGCACAGTGTCTGTTGCTTGTATCGTCACATCCCATGGTCCTTGTGTTTGCTGCAGAAATGTCACCACGTGTGGCTTAGGGACAGCAAGACCTGTTCGTACAAAAAGGGAACAATATTGTTTATGTGCTCTTTCACTGGGAATTCCAGGACGCTGTTTATAAGAAAAGATGTTGTAATTGGTGACTGCCGACAATAAGATCCTTAAATGTTTTCACACAGGACCACTACAGTACAGAAAGGAATTTACAATGTCTAGCTTCTGAGTTCCACTTGAAGGAGAAAACATTAAAAGTCGCAGGAGTTTAGCAGAGTCGCTGTATTTGGGGTGGATATTAGGATGAATAGTTTCCACTGTGTCTGGAGTGAATAATAGAATGAATGTTTTTCATTGCATCCGGTATAAATGTTAGAGTGAATGTTTGTTTTCTAGAGGTACCTTGAACTTGAAGAATCACTGTGGAAAACAGTGATAGTTTTCCCGAATTAGTGGAATTGTTGATCTAAGGAGTGTTGTGCAGTCCTGGTCACCTCAGCTGACCATCGTTAGCTTGCAGTCCTGGACCTTGTGCTATCATCTACTCCGCGCTCCCCGGCAGCTCTCCTGTCCCAGAAGCCCAAGGCGGACTCGGGCTGCCCGTCCTAAGGAAACCATCTCTCAGGGCACAGTCCCATCGCCCTCTCCCAGCCCTGACCTGCAACCTCCCGTGTCCCAGCCAGTTCAGCACAGCACCTCCAAGGCAGCTTCTCCGCCCTCGCACCCAGCCCAGGTCCGCTCCCTTCAAGACGGAACCCGCACAGAGCCTCAGGCTGCGCTGCACCCTGGACCAACCTCCAAGTCAGAGATAAGCAGGGCAGGACTCGCGCCCAAGGAAGACAGTTGTGGAGACCAAAGCCTGAAAAAGCTTTCCTCAACGAGTCCCTGTGACGTCACAGTCGCAGGCACTACACTTCCCAGAAGTCTGAGCGAAGGATCCCTGCGAGGTGATATTTGCTCTTCCTGGGCTTGTACGTGGCTGCCCGCAGTGGAGGATGGGAGGAAGAAACGGAGTCTGGTGGACAGCTGTTGGCCTGAGAAAAACCAATTACACGAATGTCTGATTAAAGCAAGCTTCATTTTACAGGATCACCAGGAAGTGGCCGGTTGGCTTTCTCTTCCAAAGTCTTTCAGAGAGCGCTCCTCATTGCCTTTTGTAGGGGGCAAGGATTGGGGTTAATAAAAAACAGCTGTCAAATGGCCGTTATAAAGGCGGAAATTTAAGAAAAAGGAAAAAACGTTCAGTAATACATCAAGTATAGCGAGGGAATCAAGCTATCAAGGAAAAATATTTTCCTAAGGAAATGTTTTTCTAAGGCAAAGGCGCATACACTATGGGGTCACAAGTTCAGCATAGGTGAAACTTGTTTTGTAAGGTACATCACTCTTAGAAAACATTAAGAAGGTATGGAGACTTAACATTATATAAAAATGTGGTTTCTTTTTTGTTTTTCCGAGACAGGGTGTCTCTGTGGCTTTGGAAGCTGTCCTGGAACTCTGGCTGGCCTCAACTCAAGAGATCCACCAGCCTCTGCCTCCCGAGTGCTGGGATTAAAGGCGTGTGCCAACACCGTCTGGCAATGTGGTTTCTTAACAATGTTTTTGTTTTAAACAGCAATGGCGTTCACCTCCAGATCCACAACATGAGATTGTGAATGTCAATCAAGACTTGAACTTTAGGCTCAGAGGTCATTTCTGGTCCGTATTCTGATTTACTCTTACTACAGCGTTAAAAATCACATTGAACCAGTTCTTTAAAAATATGAAGCAGTACTTGTGGGGTAATCTTTTTGTACACAGTGAAGATCTGTCTTTGCCAAGGGACCTTCTGATTGGTTTAATATAGCTAGGCAGGATAAGACAGGTTGAATTTCTGGGGAGAGAGCAGAAGAGATATGAATCTAGCTGCACAGAGAGGCCAGCAAGACATGGTTCATATCAGACATACCTGATTGCTTCATTACTCAACTGTAAAAACCCTGAATTGACGTAGGTGTCCATGAACATATTAATGGAAAATACATTGATGAATTTGAATGTATGTTTATTATACACAAATACATAGAGGGGAAGCTATTTAGTTCCAAAAAGGTATAATCACAAAATTTACAGACAAATGGACATCAAATGTCTACCAGTTGAGGTCACCCAGTCATATAAATACACTGCATGTTCTTCCTCATGTGCAATCTAGACACTAACACATGTACATATGTATTAGTGTATGTGGGTACAGCATAAAAGTGAGAATGAAGTTTGAATGTTAGGGCTGAGAAGGATTTAGGTGATGAACATGGATTGTGAAAGAGGACGTAAGACAACTGATTTTCACGTTCCAACACCGTCATGGATTTTAGTTTTCATAGTGTGTAAGTACATGTAACATACATGCGGTGCAGACAGTGTCAAATCCAATGTGAGAGCCTCAGATTCCGTTCTGAATGTCCATTCTAACTGTACAGAAGTGCATGACCTCTGTAGTGTCACAGGCTTTTCCTTGGGCCACCAACTAGCTCCCACATCACGACAGCACTGGTGGCTCTTTTAGGAGGTCCCGCTACCATCACTTAAATGGGCTTATGAGTGGCAGGTGGCAAACTACTCAGTGGCAGCTTGGACCCAGAAACTTCCCAGAGTTGAGGCAGTAAATGTGGCTCCTGCTGGTACCTCCACTTCCACCTCCACCAGGAGGTACCAGCTCTCAGAACCAAGGAATGGGGCATGGTCTTAGCCATGCCACGTAGCAGTTAGATACTCATCTGGTCAGCAAAAGATAGAAATAAGAAATAGACAGGTTCAGACCAAAAAACAGACAAGAGAAAAAAACAAAAAACAAAACCCACCAAAACCCCAAAACCTCTAAATGTGTTATAGTGTGTTTAAAAATATGCACAGGCTTAGGAGAGAAAAGTAAAAGGGTAGACAAAACCCTTAAATAGGGAAATAGATTAATAAAAAAAATAGTAAGCCATGTATCGAAGGAAAATACACATGTATATTGTGATGTCTTTAGATTTTGTTTTTTACTGTTAATGAGCAAATAAGTGCTGAGAGACATCTGATTATGAAAGTAGCTAGATTATATCAACGTATAGATTTTAAAAATATCTTGAGTGAAAAATTTAAGTCAAAAGATGTTACTTTGGGAAAAAGGTTCTACTTTTATTTTAAAAAGAAATGAAAGGCGCTGGATTCATTCTTGGTTAAGAAAAATCATTCTAGATGAAGGAAGACCCTCTGAAAAAGCTCTGCTGGGAACAGATGGCCTAGATAACCCAACATTTCAGAACACCTCTGCTGCAGTTTCCTCTGGGTTTTACATCCAGAACAGCTTCAAGGCTGCTGGCTGAGATGATCCAGACTTGAAAAATACTACAATCAGGACTTGACCATAATCCTAAATTTTCTCAAGGTCCCCCAAAGATTACCAGTGCCCCCAAACAACAGCAAATAGTGTAGGGAGCCATGCCCAGATTCCCCAAAAATCTATTATGAATATCAGAATTTGTTTAGGGATTGGTTACAAAATGATATTGGTCATAGTCAAAAAAGAAAAGCTAAACAAAAGATTTAAAGTCAGAGATCTCTTTAAGGGTGATATGATATAGAAATGACAGAATAAAGGGGTAGATTATTGAATCTATATTAATCAAAAAACAATTATTAATCTTAAACATTTTATATTAGTATGGATTTTGGTTTACTGATACAATTTTTTTTTTTTCGAGACAGGGTTTCTCTGTGGCTTTGGAGGCTGTCCTGGAACTCGCTTGGTAGTCCAGGCTGGTCTCGAACTCACAGAGATCCGCCTGTCTCTGCCTCCCGAGTGCTGGGATTAAAGGCATGCGCCACCAACGCCCGGCTATTGATACAAATTTAAAGTTAATTTTGTTATACTATATAAATATTTCTATACTTGCTTAAGGTATTATATTTATGTAACTCATTTAAAAATGTAATGTATAATTAAGAAATGTAAATTAATAGTTAATCATCTATAATCAAACTTAGACTTGTTAGGTATATTTTCAAGGTCATACAGATATATTTACATAGATGGGCTTCAAACACTTCAGACATACAGAATATGGAATTTAATATGTTTAATAATGTAAGGCTTTTCATGAGAGTGAAAGATGAATGCTCCTGGCAGCAGTAATCTACTTCAGAGAAGATGGTGGGCATAAAAGAAACTCTGTAAGGAGTTTGTTTTCTTTATGGAAAAAGCTAGTGATGTGGGCAAAGAAACCGACTATGCCTCAATTGATGACAGTTACTATATGAGCTGGACCAGCAGTACACAAGAAAGGTGGCTGCTGAACTTTCACAAGGTAGAACAGTCCCTCAAAATTCCCAGCTTCACAGGAAAGTCTGTCAGATATGCTAGGCCTGTAGGCCAGAGATGGATGCCCCAGTGTTGCAGAGCAATTTTGGGTGACTCTCCAAGCATCTTGATGTCCAGGACATTTGGTTACATTTGCTCATTCATTCTGGGTCTTTGGTAGACTTCAAGACTAGCTAGTTATTATAGTTTAATTTTTCTTAGTTACAATAAGTAATAGTTAAGGTACAAAACTTTGGACTCATGAAGATAGAAAATAGAGTATTTTCTCTAATTTTACCAATTACAAATAAGAGTGGATACAGAAACTGTAATTCTTACTTAGTAACTGTTTAGTAATTTATAATTTTACTATGTTAACGTCAAAACCTTCCTTTTTAATTAGACAAAAAGGGGGAAATGTGGAATCCTCTTGTATACTGTGAAGACTGGTCACATGAATTGGCATAATAAAACATGGATTGGCCAGTAGCCAGGCAGGAAGTATAGGCAGGGTGACAAACTAAGGATGATGGAAAGGAGAAGAGTCGAAGTTACCAGCAAACACAAGGAACAAAGATGAAAATGTCCTATTGAGAGAAGGTACCAAGCCATGTTGTTAAACATAGATAAGAACTATGGCTTAATTTAAGTGTAAGAGTTAGCTAGTAAGTATAGGACGAGTTAGCTAGGAAGGCAGCTAGTAAGTGTAAGGCTGTATACATAGTCGAGACTGGAAGTCTCTGTTAATGTTATTGCTCCCTCAGCTGACGACTCTGCCTCTACAGCCATGGCTGCTGCCTGAGCCTTCACATTGGTTTAACTAAGGTCTGTCCTTTTAATTTATCAATAAGGATTCAGGAGCCAGATGCTGGGTGAAAGCCTGATAGATCAGACAGGCAGAGATTCTTCTACACCAAGGGGAGATATTCCAGGAGCTTGGATGACTCTACTGGAAAAAACTATAGTAACTATGCCTGCCATAGCTCAGATTTCAGATTCCGGGCACCATAGACAAAGTAGTGACATGGTAAAGATTCCATGGAACATATATAGTTACAAAAGAAAGACCTATCAATCAAGGCAAGTTTCAAACACGCTGCTTGAACAAACTGTTGGGGGTTACTGCAAAGAGAAGTCTCTACTGTTCTCTGATGACAATGTTAGCATTTATACCCTGTTAAATTAGATACTCATGTTTACTTTGCAAAATAATCAACTTGGTAGTCTCTACTATGGATTCATTTGAGTTGGATAATGTGGTGATATTTATGATTTGTTAAAGCTTGCATGAGAGTCAGGCATTAGTGGTGCACCCCTTTAATCCCAGCACTCGGGAGGCAGAGGCAGGCGGATCTCTGTGAGTTCAAGGCCAGCCTGGTCTACAGAGCGAGGCAAGTTCCAGGACAGCCTCCAAAAAAATACAGAAACCCTGACTCGAAAAACAAACAAACAAAAGCTTGCATGAGGATTCAGAAAGCAAAGTCAGACACAAGCCATAGAAGCCAGGCACACACCTTTGATCCCAGCAGCCAGAAAGTGGTGGTACACACCTTTAATCCTACGACTCAGGATTAAGAGGTAGCCAGATCTCTGTGAGCCCAAGACCACCCAGATTTACACAAGATCGATCCAGTCCTAAAGAGAAACAGCGCACACAAAGATGATCTCAGCATCTGGGATCACACACCTTTAATCGCAGCACTAGAGAGGTATATAAGACAGGAGCAAGATCTCAGTATCAGGCATTCATTCTCCAGTCACATTGATAGGAGGCATTCATTTGCCAGCCACACTGACAACAGAAGACATATATTCTCCAGCCACACTGAGGAAAGGCAGCAGTTTGAGGCTTGGTGAAGAGCTCATGAATCAGCCCTTCTAGCCTGAGCTGGAAGTAAGAGATAGTGGCAGGCTGCTTTGCTTTTCTGATCATCAGCTTGAAATTTGAACTCCAATTCCTGTCCCAATCTTTTATTTATCGTGTTCCAGGATGAGATCTAATTTTTTTTTTTTTTTTTTTTTTTTTTTTTTGGTTTTTACGAGACAGGGTTTCTCTGTATTATTTTGGAGGCTATCGGTCCAGCCCGGCGAGATCTAATTTTTAGCAAAGATTTTACTACTCTTCACACCCTCATGGACTTTCTAGTCAGAATGAATCATTTCCTGTGTTTTAAGAGTGGAACAAGTAAAGTTTTTAAGACATTTATAGGATTTCTCTCCTGTATGAGCTATATCATGTGTTGAGTAAGGGTATAAAGATTAACAAAGTCTCTGTCACATTTTCCACACTTCTAGGGATTGTCTTTAGAATGAATTTTCCTTTTTTCTTTTATGTTGTCTAAGGCGTGAAGATGAGGAAAAATCTCTGTCCCTACCTTTACAGTGGTTGGGTTTCTCTCCATTATGAACTCTCTTGTGTCTCCTAAGGGATGAGTGACAATGAAAGGCTTTGTGACATTCCTCACACTTGTATGGCTTCTCTCCAGTGTGAACTGTTTGATGTTCCTGAAGATGCCTAGCATAGGAAAACCGTTTGCCACATTGCTCACACGTATAAGGATTATATTCAGAGTGGATTTTTTTATGTCGTCTAAGGGATACTAACGAGTAAAAACATCTGCCACACTCTTTGCACTTGTGGGGTTTGTCTTTACGGTGCATTGTTTGATGTCGCCGAAGAGATGAAGAGAAGCAAAAACATTTGCCACACTCCTCACACTTGTATGATTTCTCTCCAGTGTGAACTGTCTGATGCTCTTGAAGCTTTGCAAAACAGGAAAACCTTTTGCCACACTCCTCACACTTATAGGGATTTTCTAGAGAGTGAATCATCTGATGTTGTTTAAGGTATGACGATGAGGAAAAACATCTGCCACACTCTTCACACTTGTATGATTTCTCTGCAGTGTGAATTCGTTGATGTGCCTGAAGGAATGAAGGGACATAAAAAGCTTTCCCACACTCTTCACACTTGCAGGGTTTCTCTCCAGAATGAATTCTTTGATGCTGCTTCAGCATTGAAGGATAGTAAAACGATTTGCCACATTCTTTACATTTGTAGGTTTTTTCATCAGTATGATTTTTCTGGTGTATAAAAAGTGATGAGCGAGTATTGAAGGCTTTATGACATTCTTTACACTTGTAGGGTTTCTCTCCAGTGTGAAGTCTCTGGTGTATAGAAAATGTTTTATAAGAACTAAGGCCCTTACCACATTCTTCACACTTGTAGGGTTTCTCCCCTGCATCAATTCTCTGGCATTGAATACGTAGTGAGTTATAATCGGTGCCCTTGCTATATACATTATAATTCTTGGATCTTGTTCCTGTTGAAGAAAAGTTGAGATATGAGCAAATGCTTGGAAATATTCTTCATACTTACAGTGCTTATCTTTTTAAAAGGAAAGATTTACTCATACATACTAAACAATAAGTGAGAAACTACAGTATATTTAAAACCTATAGGCACTAAACATAAATGATAAAATACTGTAGGTCAAAATGATATATACTTCTACTAGAATAAGACACAACCAAATAGAACATAGACATAATGACATATTCAAAATTTAGTAGCTAAGTTGTAAGGGCATTTTACATTTTACAGAAATAAACCCATTAAACAATAAAGATGTTATATGGCGATACCCATTAAATTATAAAGTAGACAAGCCTGGAAAAAAAGTTAAATGTGATTATGTGAATTTGAGCAATCATATAAATACAAAATTTTTATCATCCACATAGCTTTATTTTGGAAGGTTCAGAAGATATGCTATACAAGAAGTAGATGGTTCACAACAAGACTAAATTTACAGCTCAAAAATTCAGAACACTATTTCATTTTTAATTTGGATGACAAGAAAATATATACCTGATGCATATAAAGTCATGATAAACAAAAAGGCTCACTGGTGAATTACACAAATTTTACTAAGACAACATATTTCTCAGTAAACAAATGATAAAATTTCTTATTTCTCTCCTTTGTTTTTGCTTTTTTAAGGCAAGGTTTCTCTGTGTAGACCTTGCTGTCCTGGAACTCACTATCTAGATCAGGCTAGCTGCAAATTCCAAGTGTTGGGAATAGTGGAGTAGGCCACATGCCCTGGGTGTTGGGGGGGATAATGTATTTCTGAGATTTATTCATTTACAAGAGTAACAGCTATGAGCCCTAAATAGAGATAATGAAGAAGCCATGCAATCAGGACACTGGTGTTGACCCATGAAGTAGAAAATTACAGAGCAAAGCTCCTAGAGATTTTGTAACCTTACACAGTCCTGTGTGTCGTATCCATCCACCAAAACATATAGGGAATATATAACAAATTATTATACATTATACACACCTCCAAATTAATACCAAAGAATATCAAATTGCAAAGTGAAGAAAAAATTTGAACTCACAAAATTTTGAAAACTATTAAACACATACTCCTAGTCACGGAGACTTTGAATCTTTAAATATATATCCACAAAGGGCATGCATTTTAAGTTCTTATAATGAGTATGTGATAAAGAAAAAAAATTAGAAGATATCTGTATCAAAGACAAAGAATTCTGATGGGGTCACTTTCTTCAACAGTACACGTGAAACAAAAGAAACTCGTGTGAAGTTAGTTTCTTACAATGATTTCAGACCTAGTTATTTAGAAATGTGTGCTATATTTCAGATGTTAAGAAAATAGTACTGTCTGTGAGTGACCTGTCCCAAGTGATTCAATTTTGCCTGAGTTTTATTCAATTGCTCCCCCAACCAAACAATCCTGCCCAGAAAATTCTCATGCAGCCTCACCTACAGCTTTGAAACATCCACTGGTTTACAACATGAAACAAATTGTTTGAATCAATGGAACTAAAAGTTTTGGGTTTTCAGCCCTAGGCCTGCCTCTGATGCAATTTTGGGCTTGGCTTTATAAATCCAATCAAACCAAGGTTAAAGTGTGCTGGAATAACCAATGTATTTCCTGACACAAAACCGAACCTTGTCCTTCTGGTCCTAATGGGGTAGATGTGGGTATTTTTGTCTGGTCCAAATTCTGGGAAAAACAAAACACAAAACCCTGACAGGGACTCCCTCCCTGTGTCTCCTTCTGAGAGTAAAGATGTGGATTGAAGAAGTAATGGATAAATTATCAATTAAATCCAGGCACTTTCATTTCTGTGGATGCTGGATGAGTGAATGCAGAGTGCCCTCCATCTACGCTGTCTCAGATATGGTTCCGTGACTTAATTTTATCACTTTCCCTGGCCCCCTTGTGGAACAGAGTCAGCCACTCTCTGAGCTCACTTGGATTCAAGGCTCCTGGAAGCTGCGGGGTTCCGCTGTCCCCCTGCCTGTGCTCCATGAGCCATGTACCATCTTTCCTGAGGCTGTATTAGTGGGCCTGGGCAATTCCATGGCTATTCCTCTTCAATCTGCTCATCCCTGGCCCCAAGCTCCCCTTGTGGTATTCTAAACAAGCTACTGAAAGGAGAAGGTCTGCAGGATTGGTTTAGATTTTATACACAATAAAGGGAGGAGGCTGAAGTTTCTAGTTCCTCCATGGACTGTATTTGTATTTATCTTCAAAGGTATACAAACTTTTCAGTCCAACAACTGTAATTTTTGAGTGTGAAGTTTTTATCAGAGGTAAATTGCTTTCATTTGTTAAGGCCTTATCTGATGCGTGTAGGAGGAAACAGTGTGCTGTCATTAACCATGTGACTTACTAGAGGCGCACACAGATGAGGTAATAAAAGGGCAGTTTACCGCACCACTAACCACACCCACTTTAGGCATGACTAAAGACGTATATGGACGTAGGTGGTGAACTACGTCACTAGCCAGGCCCACTTTTGGGCATGGCTAGGGGCGTTATGGAGGAAGGTATAAAAGACCAGCGGAAGTCTAGCTCTCTTTTTCCGGCTTTCCAGCTTCCAGTTTGGTGGCGGAAAACTACTCAGCTCATCTGGGTTACTTGTTTGGTATCTTGTGAGTAATTTCTACAATAAATACTTATTTTCACTTTCAGTAAGTGTGCCATTTATCGTTGCAGCATCAGATGAGAGTCATTATTTTGTTGTAAGCTGTTACAACAAAGGTATGATGAGTCACCTAATGAATCATGAAATGTACTTAGTGACCAAAGTTACGTTTATAGTCATGCTAAATACAAATATATTTCATTTATAGACATGATTAATAAATTAGAGGGAAAAAATTCTACCTTCCATTATGGAGTCCTCTGTACATGTCAGCAAAGGTAAGCCTAAAGCAGGTAACTGAAACAAATTCAAGTTCAACTTGTTTTTACTTAATATGGAATGATATTAAAATCAGATATACTTAAAGTAACTGGTTATTGGGTCAGGAATGGTGACACACCTTTAATCCCAACAATGGGGAGTCAAAGCAGGAAGATCTTTCTGAGTTTGATGCCAGCCTGATTTACAAAGCCAGTTCTAGGACAGCTACACAGAGAAACCCTGTTTTGAAAAACAAAACCAAAGAAAACAGCAACAAAAGAGAAAAAAAACCTAGAACACTGGTTTTTGAAATTGAGTGACTGAATACTTGAGTACACTTGCATGGCAGGACACAACCAGGAGAGGTTAGCAAACTTACCCTAAGACTTACTAGATTAATGGCATTCTAGTTTCAACAAAGGGTAAGGATGCATGGGGAATAGGAGTTGTCAGTGTCTGCTGCTCCTATCACCCTCCAGTCTGTAACCCAGATCAGGAAATCCTACTCCTTATCTGTAGGGAAGATGGATCACAGCTCATGTCCCACCAGACAGGGGGTGGATTCCCTCATGCTGAGGAGAATCTTAGATTTTTTTCACCACACTCTGCATGTGTCAATGGAGACACTCATTGCAATTTCTCAGCAGTCCATGTCTCCTGAACTGATAGTTGAGAATACAAGGGGAGCCTTGTACCTATGTCTGCCACCCAACTGGTATGGGAGCTACACTCTAGTTCAAACGGCCATGCCCTGTCCCTGGCTTTGATTTTCTTCCTCTTAACAAAGCTAATTCGAGAGCTGAGCTATCAATGCCTGGTTATGTAAGGAGTCCTCAGCAAAGTGGTAGGTAACACATGACAGAGGCTCTGCCACAGGGCCAGTGGGCACAGCAGGGAGAACTCAGGGCACTGTTTAAACTAAGTCACAAGTGCCATGTGTGTTCACACCACATCAGTCAAGAAAGCCATACGGCCTGAGGAGGTGAGGTGGACTGTGAAAGTCCAACCAGTGCAGTCATTCTGAGTCACCCTCCAGAGACATCTAGGACAAGCTCCTCCTCATCTAGGAACAATCTCATAGGAATACGTGTTACTGTCATTATTAATGGAAAGATGATTGGACACTAGCTAAGCAGGGTTTTCTGGGCAGAGCAAATGCTGGGCTAAACTACATGTATGTTTTTACTCTGGGGTATTGTGGCTATCTAGGTCATTTAAAAATGTAATGTATAATTAAAAATATAGGTTAGTAGTTAATCATCTATGGTAGTCAAACTTACAGTCACGTTAGGTTCACTTTCAAGATATATTTAGATAGACCTATAGAATATGGCAGTTTAAAGTCCCAATACAATAAGACTTGTCTTGACAGTGAGACTCGTCTGCTCATGGCAGCACCAATTTACTTCAAAGATGATGATAGGCATCGAGGAAACTCCATAGGAGTTTGGTTTTTTTTTGTTTTTGTTTTTTTTAATGGCAAAAGCCAGACAGTAGGGCAAAGAAATTGCCCTTGCCTCAATTGCTGACAGTATATTGTCCAACCTGGACCAGCAGGATGCAAAAGAAAGCAACTGATAAATTTTGCCAAGAAAAGGTAGTACAGTCCTTAAAAATTCCCTGCTTCCCAAAAATGTCTGTCAAACAGTCTAGGCCTGTAGGCCAAATATGCCAAATATGGGTGCACAATTGTCATAAAGAACTTTGGATAACTGTCCAGGCTGCCAGATATCCCTGTCATTAGATAACATTTCACCCTTCAGGGTCTTTGATGAAATTAAGACTAAATTAATTTTAAAGTTTTCCTTAGTTACGATAAAAGGTGAATTAGAAATAAAACTTTTTTTTTCTTACAAAGATAAGGTAGATAATAAAATATTTTCCCTAAATTTGCCAAACACAAATGAACTGGATATTGTATTTGTAGTTCTTACTTGACATGTATTTTTGTTACATACACTTTTACTATGTGAAAGTTAAAACCTTCCGTATTAATTAGACAGAAAGGGGAAATGCCAAGGACTAATCCTTCTGTACACTGTGAAGATGTGTTATTCTAATTGTTAATAAAAAGCTCATTGGTCCTTGGAAAGGTGGGATTTTCGGAGCAGAGCAAATGTTGGGATGAGGAGGGCAGAGTCAGAAGAGTCACCAGGACGTGGAGGAGCAGGAGATAAACATGATGTATTGCCACATGGCAGGGTGTAAGTAAGACATATAGATTAACTAAAATGTAAAAGCTTTTAGTAATAAGCCTGAGCTATCAGTCAAGCATTTATAATTAATATTAAGTCTCTGAGTGGGTATTTGGGAGTGCTAGCAGGACAGAGTTGATTATGGTCCCAATGAAAAACTCCACCTACACTCCTCAGCCTTGGTCCCATGACAAACCAGGAAGGCAATCAAAATCTACACTGAGGAAGTTTGAGAATCAACAGGAGACGTTGAGAAAAAGTAGCCACATGATCTCGTTGCCCAACTGGACTCATGGTAATATTAATCTTAATGCTTCCTATAGGGCTAGCCACAGTGGCTACTCTGACTAGATCTGAAACAAAACATTTTACCTGGGAACATCAGGTTTATACATAAAGTTTATAATGTCTTTAACAAGTTGTGACTGGGAATATATGCAAATAACAGTTAGACCAAATATATCATAAACACATTAACTTCAAAGAGACAGGAAAAAAAATCCAAAAAACCATGGAGCCCTACACTCACTAAAGGGCCTAAATCTACTAACTGCCATGAAAGAGATGCACACATAGTTGTACCCATATCTGGTTTGATGGGCATCCCTGTATCAAGAATGGAAGGCATTGTAGGTCATCCTGTGCTGCTACTCTTCCTAGGTCTAATGGTCAGGACCTACTGAAAAAAGTATTGAAAAAAGCCAGTCTCTGTTAAATTAGTGTACCTAAGGGCCCAATACAACCCCTTCTACAATATGTTAATACTTTGAATCTTCACTGCTCCCTACTCCCAAATATTTCTAATCAACAGAACTAAAACTGTTGAGCCTCTGTCATGCCTGGGTCTCTGTAATGCAATTGTGGGTTTGGCTTTACGAACACAACCATGCTCACTTTGGTGTAGCAATCCTTCTGCAGCCTCTACAAAGAAATGATGAAATGACTCTCAGTCTGACCAGCACTGAGTTCTCTTTTCCTGAGTCTTACACTACAGTGGAGACTCAACCAAAAGAAAAACCTCAGAGGTCACTGTTAATAGAAGCACAGCTCGCTGTTGGGAAATACGAAGCTGAAGTGACTTAAACCATCCTAAGAGCCTGAGAGATATGCTTTGACAACACAGACATGAAGAGAAACCTAAAGAATGATTACTATACAATCATGTTTCTAGGCACATGGGAAAGCCTGCTGTTTTGGTGAATATTTGCACCCCACCTCTGACCCTGACCCCTCATCCTACACACCTGGGTGCACGGTGGCTGCTGCCTGTCTCTCCACTTCTGAAGGCTCTTGTCTTTGCTCCAGAAATGTCACCAGCTGTGGCTTAGGGACAGCAAGACCTGTTAGTAGAAAAGGGAACAAGACTGGTTGAGTGTTCTACTAGGAATTGACATGTCCCTTCCAGTGCATAGTTCATAAGAGATGATGTAATAAATGACTCCAGACAATCGTTTCTGTAAATGTTTCCTGACAGGATCGCTACAAACTAACAACATCCAGATTCTGGGTTTCATTTAATGGGAAAAAACATTAAATCTAAATTGTTAAAGACTTTATAATGCCATTGTATTTCTAACAGTCCCACTAGAGTGAAGGAAACATACATCAAATACAGAAAGGTTAAACACAAAGACAAAAACAGTGAAATGATTCCTTTTATTTTATTCTCTAAATGCATTAGTGCTTTGAGGGTGTCAGACCTTGACATTACAGATGGTTGTGAGTTGTCGTATGGGTGCTGGGAATTGAACCCTGGTCCTCTAGAAGGGCAGTGCTATCTCTCAAGCACCTAAATGATTAATACCGAACTCTTCCTAATTTTTCTGAAAACGAAGGATATAAAACTCACTGTTGAAACATTCCAATGAGATACAGTACAAAGGGAGTAAGATATATGTTGATGGTGAAATAAAAATTCACTAGGATGAGATCCTCACCCAGGAAATCAAGGTGGCTGTAATTCTCCAACATCACATCCCTGTACAGATTCCACTGAGCAGGATCCAGGTATTTCCTCTCTTCTGGAGAGAACTCAATGGCCACATCCCAGAAGGACAGCATTTCCTGAAACAAAGACCAATGGAGGATAAACACACTTTAATTACAACCATTAATAATATCAATATCAGGATGCATTGGCCTGGATAGTTTCCTGTCAACTTGAGACTAGCTAGGTTCATTTGAGAAGAGAGAAGCATCATTGAGAAGACACCGCCATAAGTCTGTGTATAGGGAAGCCTGTGGCATTTTTAAATTAGTGAATGATATGAGACAGCATAGCCCGTTACGGGTGATACGGGCACTGGGCCGGTGTCCCTATATGCCATAGGAAAGCAGGCTGGGCAAGTGAGTCTGCAGTGTTCTTCTGTGGCCTCTGCTCCAGTCCTTGTCTAGGGTTCCTGCAAACAACTGTCTAATCACCAAAATTTAATGTCTTTAACAAAAACATGTGAGTGACAAAAGTTTAAATTACACATGGAATGGGTTAACAGAATGAACCACAAGTAGTTCTTAAATCACCAAAGTGCTAATTGCATGGAGTCATCATGGTACTCACTGTAAGAAACAAGGGATGAATAACAGTATTTATCACATCCATGAAGTATGTTCCAGTGTTTTCTGACACAGACTCGGGTAGCCTAGGACTTGAATTTGCTATGAAGCAGGGGAGGGCCAGAGGGTCCTGCCTCCCCCACACAAATGCAGAGGTGACAGGGATGTGCAATAGAGTGGACTGGAGTTTCTTTTCTGTCACAGGTCTGTCTACTTTAAATCAGGGGAACACACACAGGTCTGTGAGTTCTCCACACCCTGCTGACCTGACACAAAAGCCTTCCTAGTCTGCATTCTGCTTTGTGAGTCTTTCCCTCTGCAGTATGTGTGCTCTCTCACCCCTAGTTAAAGCTTTCCTAAAGTAGCTGACAGATCTTTCTGCTGTCTTCCAGAATTTCCCACCAGTGATCTTTGTTTTGCCTCAGAATTTTTCCTCTCTTAATTCTTTAACGGGCAGAGAACACAATCCAGACTCAAGACCCTTACACCAGGCAGGCTGGAGTACAGGAGGGGTCAGACACCCCATTTGCTCTGACAGCATCCATGTGAGAAGGACTCAGCTCGTGAAGCTGCTTCCCCACCAAAGCTGCTCAGGGAGCTCCCAGCTCCACCTCAGGAGCAGGTAGTCAGCTGACCATCGTTAGCTTGCAGTCCTGGTCACCTCAGCTCACCATCGTTAGCTTGCAGTCCTGGACCTTGCGCTATCATCTACTCCGCGCTCCCCGGCAGCTCTGTCCCAGAAGCCCAAGGCGGACTCGGGCTGCCCGTCCTAAGGAAACCATCTCTCAGGGCACAGTCCATCGCCCTCTCCCAGCCCTGACCTGCAACCTCCCAGCCAGTTCAGCACAGCACCTCCAAGGCAGCTTCTCCGCCCTTGCACCCAGCCCAGGTCCGCCCCCTCCAAGACGGAACCCGCACAGAGCCTCAGGCTGCGCTGCACCCCGGACCAACCTCCAACTCAGAGATACAGCAGGAGACGCAGCAGGGCAGGACTCGCGCCCAAGTTTGCGGAAGACGCACGTGTTTAATCTAAATCCGGAAAAGGCTTTCCTGGACGACTTTCTGTGACGTCACAGTAGGATGGACTACATTTCCCAGAAGTCTGCTTATATGACTCCCGGAGTGATGCTATTACTCTTTTGATTCTTGCTGCCTGTAGTAGATGATGGGCGGAAGAAAGGGAAACTGGTAGACAGAGGTTGACCTGAGAAAAACCAACTGCTCTGATGTCTGATTAAAGCAAGTTTTTGTTTTGTTTTGTTTTTTCAGGAGCACCAGAAAGTGGCCGGTTGGGTTTCACTCTCAAAGTCGGTATTTCAGAGAGCAGTCCCTTATTGCCTTTTGACGTCCCTTTTGGTAAAAGATTGGGGTTAAAAAAACAAAACAAAAAAAAACTCGAGATAATTGTCGGTTGGAAAAGATGCAATAAAAAGGTCAAATGTGTCATAGAAAACATCTGTCGAAATAACTGGCAATTTGAAATGATGAAATAAAAAAGAAGCTGAAAATATGTTGAATAATTCATCATGTGAGAGAGGAATCATCAAGCTATCTGGACATTTTCTTTTTTTTCTTTTCTTTTTTCTTTTTGGTTTTACGAGACAGGGTATTGTTCTGGAGGCTATCTGTCCAGCCCGGCCTCGAACTCACAGAGATCCGCCTGCCTCTGCCTCCTGAGTGCTGGGATTAAAGGCTTGCACCACCACCGCCCAGCCTGGACATTTTCTTAAAGCAAAAGCGCAGTCATCACAGATTAGTTTTGTATGCTTTAGTAGGTATACACCATGGGGTCATATTTCAGCACAGTTGAAACATGTTTTGCTGGGTACTTTAGTCTTAGGAAACAGGAACTTATTTTTGTAATGTATGAGGCTTAACAATGGATAAAAATCTGGTTTCTTACCAACAATGTTTTGGTTTCAAATAGCCCTGGAGACTTAGTCTGGTGTTCACCTCCAGATACATAACTCAAGATGTCTGGGTGTGAGTTGAGACTATGATATAATTATCAGGTTCCCGGGTCATTTCTGGTCGATATATTCTGATTTTAATATTAATACACTTAAAAATCACATTGGCTCCGTTGTACTTAAATGATGGAGCAATACTATGTGGAGTAATCTTTTAGTACACTGTGAAGATGTGTCTCTGCCAAGGCACCTTCTGATTGGTGTAATAGAGCTGAATGGCCAATATCCAGGCAGGATAGGACAGGTGGGATTTCTGGAGAGACAGCAGAAGAGATGAATCTAGCTGCCCAGAGGCATCAGCAAGACGAGGGCCAAGTCAGGCATACAGAAAGATGGAGCCATTTCAAAAAAAAAAAAAAAGAGCCATGTGGCAGAATCTAGACTAATAAGTGCAGGTTAATTTATAAGAGCTATGCTTTCATCATGAATAAGAAGTTGCCCTGTCATTATTTACCAGCTGACAATGGTCAGACAAGTAAAACTCCACAGTATACTGATGCGGGAGAGAAAAGTATCTTTTTACGATGATTTTGAAACCATCCTAGGTGTGCCTGAACGTGCTTCTAAGTGCTCAGAGGCTTCAGACAAATGGACCTGCTCCAAACCTGAACTGGAATATTTAGAGATCAGACTTTGGGCAGTTGGTTTTTCTCAGGTCAACTTCTGTCTACCAATTTCCCTTTCTTCAGCCCATCCTCTACTGTAGACAGCAAGAATCAAAGGAAGAGTAATAGCATCACACAGGGAGTCATATAAGCAGACTTCTGGGAAATGTAGTCTATCCTACTGTGAAGTCACAGAGAATTGTCCTGGAAAACAAGCAAACAAACAAAAAACCCAAACAACACACAGGATGAAAACCAGAAACAATAGCAAGAACAGCAACAACAAAATCAACTATATAAGTAAAACATTCATAGTAAAGCAGTTTGAGTTTACTTTAGGCTTTGTCTTAATATGCAGTCCTACATATAAATAACCCATGTTGCTCTGTGGTCACACTCTTCATGTTCCAGACATGGATCCAACTCCACAGTTTGTAAAAACAGTTTTCCTGTGAACATTGGAATCCCTACAGGGTAGGAGGTTCTTCAGGGACACAGAGAAGGTATAATGACTAAACAAGGTTAAAGTTCAACTCTCTGACATTTACAAAGAACTTCTTAATCCAACTCAGGATTGGTCACCTGCCCTTAACTCCCTTGAAACTCTCAACTGTTAATCTATGTAAGAAATTCTGTTTTTGGAGGGCTCTATTAGAATTTTAACCATGCCCCCCCTTTTCTCCCACAAATGCAGGTATGTATTTGGCACCTGGTGTGCTATGAGCTCATGCTTACATCCCCTGCTTCTCTCCAAAGTGGAAAGACATGACTCCTAGGTCAACCGGGTATTTGTAATGATAGTTCACCCATTATCCGTTGTTGGAATTCTCTCTGCAGAGCTTCATACACACCAAGGACAGATATTACAGGAATATGGTTGACATGTTTTTCCACCAGGAAAAACAACAGTAAATATGCCCACAGGCCTGATCTCAGATTCTGGACAAAATTATGACATAGTAAAGGTTTCATGGAACATTCATAGTTATAGAAGAAAGAGACTCACTAATCAAGGCATGTTTCAAACAAACTGCTTGAATAAACTGTTGGAGGCTATAGCAAAGAGAAGTCTTCATTGTTCTCTGATGACATTCTTTTTTTTTTTTTTTTTTTTTTTGCTTTTTTGAGACAGGGTTTCTCTGTGGCTTTGGAGGCTGTCCTGGTCTGATTACATTCTTAGCTTTTGTGCTGTTGTAGGTTAGATGTTCATGTTGACATTGCAAAATAATTAATTTCATATTCTGTACTATGGATTCATTTGAGTTGGATAAGATCTGAATTGTTAACAAAGATTTTATCACACTTCCCACACACATGGAGTTTGTAGTCAGATTGAATCATCTGATGTGTTTCAAGGGTTAAAGAAGTAAAAATTTTAAGACCTTTGTAGGATTCCCCTCTCATATGAAGTATATCATGTTCAATAAGGATATAAAGATGAACACAGCCTCTGACACATTCACCACTTCTACAGATTGTCTTTAGAACGAATTTTCTTTGCTATTTATGTCATTCAAGGTCCGGGGAAAAAAAAGGAAAAACAAATGTTGGATCAGGTGGAATCGATGAAGTGAGGCCTCATTTTCTTTCTGGAGTGTTCGAAGACTGCTGTTAGGAAATTCTTTGTTCTATGTGGAAAACTCAAAAGTTAATGTCAACAAAGATATGTCAACTTTTATAGGTTTACATACTGGGAAATGCAAAAATAAGGAAGATAGTAAATATGAGGAAAATTAAACTTTCAGAGAAAGAACCGAGTATAAATAGTTTTGTTTTCTTCTGTCTTACATCAATTGACTTCTTGATATAATACAGAAACTCTGAATTTCATTTTAACAGCATGCTTGGATTTAGAGGAGGAAAGCCATATTCAGCATAACTGGTAATCCTGGCCAGTTTCTGGCTGGGAATGATTGATCCATCAGCGGAACTTGTCAAGAGTGGAAAAAAGATTTGGGGGCCGGGCGTTGGTGGCGCACGCCTTTAATCCCAGCACTCGGGAGGCAGAGGCAGGCAAATCTCTGTGAGTTCGAGACCAGCCTGGACTACCAAGCGAGTTCCAGGACAGCCTCCAAAGCCACAGAGAAACCATGTCTCGAAAAACCAAAAAAAAAAAAAAAAAAAAATTTGGGAATTCCTCACCTTCCTCCACAGTGGGATGTAGGACTCTGGCCCCTGTGTGTATTAAGTGTTGGAACCCTGACAATGGGTGGGACATGCATATCGGCATTTAGGCAGACACTTGAGTCAGTTCAAAGAGCCCTGTGCTTATGTCACGTCTTATGCCTTATGGGATTGCATAAGGGCTCAGTATGCATGTGCCGGCTTCCCCTTTTAAGCGAGCACCTCCATGTGCTCTCTCTCTCTCCTCTCTCCCTTTGCCCCCTCCCTCCCCTCTTCTCCACTTTTCTCTTTCTCTCCTTCCTGGTTGGCCCGAACTCCCCTTCTTCCCTTTCCCTTCAGTAAACTCCACATGGGTTGCTGACTTGTGGTTCCTGTTTCATTGCCTGTCGCTGCTGTAAAAAGAGCAACATGAAGTGCTTTGGAGGGGAGAGTTGGTTTGGGCCTTGGCATAGGTAGGAGATCTTTGGTCTGAGGACCTGGGGGAGCAGTTTCTCCTGGACTGTAAATCTATTCCCAGGGTTGCTTCCTGTGACAAAGAGTACAATTCTCCAAGGTCCCCCTGTTTTCCAAAGGCCAGAATCTTTTTTATTTTTATTTTTTATTTTTTGGTTTTTACGAGACAGGGTTTCTCTGTATTGTTTTGGAGGCTGTCGGTCCAGCCTGGCCTCGAACTCACAGAGATCCGCCTGCCTCTGCCTCCCGAGTGCTGGGATTAAAGGTGTGCACCACCACTTCCCCGTCTAGGAGGAAGCCTGTATGCCGCCATTAACCATGTGACTTACTAGAGGCGCATACAGATGAGGTAATAAAAGAGAGGTTTACCACACTGCTAACCACACCCACTTTAAGCATGACTAAAGACGAATACGTACATAGGCGTAGGCGGTGAACTACGTCACTAGCCAGGCTCACTTTTGGGCATGGCTAGGGGGCGTTACGGGGGGGGGGCATAAAAGATAGCACAAAGGAAGTCTTGGTCTCTTTTTCTGGATTTCGGCTTCCGGTTCGGCGGGGGGGGGACTTCTGGGCTCATCTGGGTTACTTGTTTGGTATCTTGTGAGTAATTTCTACAATAAATACTTAGTTTTACTTTCAGTAAGTGTGTCGTTTTTTGTTACAGCGTCATTTGGAGCTTCAGCCCGGCTACCAGAATCTTTTTTAATGGGACTTCTAGAACTTTAATTTTTATAACCATTGGATTACAATCTCCCCTTGGGAGGGGGCTTTCTTTATTTTTTTTGTAATGCTTTTATTTAAATTACAAGCATGAATGATTCACATGTCAATCCCAGCTCCCTCTCCCATGCCTCCTTCCTTGTCTCTCCACCAGCCCCCCAGTCCCCCACCCAATATCTACA